AGGAAAAGCAGAGCTGTTTCCACTAGTAAAATACACGAAATACTTCAGTACATGAAAATAGAAACAGAAAAATTAAAACTGACCAAAATGTGATTCTAAGATAATCCTAGTAATAAAATCATTCTCATTTCCTCTTCACATGGTATAAATTCATCTAAATGATAAATACTGCTCGTTAACCAAATAATATTTTTTTCTTCCAAAACAGTGTCTTAAGTCTTCTACCTAATAAATAATAAACTTTGACACTGTAACTATAATATTTACTATGACACTGAGGGATTGCCAGAGCACCAGAATAAAACAATTAAGTGGTCTCAATATAAAAACATTGAATTATTGGCATCTGTGTTATATTCAAACCCCAAAAAGTTAAAAAAAACTATTAAAATAATTCATGTTTGAAACACCATTACAAATTGTCTTTTCACTCCACCATTTCTTAGGTTTATAATAAAATGAAACCTGGTAAAATCTTTAAAAACTCTACAGGACTGTACATGTACAAATGACAATTGTCAAATACTGTTGAATTACTGAGCCTTCCTTCCCCCACTCTCCTGTCATGTCTTGTAGCGTTCCTGTGGCAGTAGACCTGCACGATGACAAGTGAGGCAACAGAACTTTGAGAAATACTTGTGATCACATAGATTGGCCTCCACAATGAGGCTGCAGTCAGCGTAGAATGGCTGGTCCAAACAACCAGGGGGCGGAGGGATGACTAAAAAGATATGGTGTATACATACTTGACAAATGAAATGTAGGATGACATGTTGCATTTGGTTTGATGACTACATTTGGAATAAAATAATGCACGTTGTGGCATTTAATAAGAAAGATCCATTCTACAGATTGTAAGACATACTGCACAGGCTAGCTGTCTGATTTCACAATGCTGGCATTTTATATTATACTGCTGACATGTTATGCAGAAAGTATGATCCTGAAAGACTTATTATTGCAAAAGGAGAATAAGTTAAATTAAAACATATTGTAATATAAAAATTTCCACTCACATTTTGGCTTGACTGTGATAGTTGTGGTGGCAGTGACAGTCTGCACATTGTTGGAAGCTCTGCATGTGTAGTTTCCGCTGTCTGAGGGGATAGCTTGAAGAATGGACAGATCTCCTCTGTCAACCTGATTAATAATACACAGCTAATAGATAGTGATCCAATGTGTTGTCAGGAATACCACTGTATTTTGTAAGTTACTTGTGACAAATTAGTAAATTGTGAGTAAGAAATTAGTTTTTAAAAATAAATCTATCAACAAGGGAAAAATGGAAAATTGATTTATCTAAACGAAATTCATCAAGCATAATTAATAACAAAAAGATTCATCAAGCAAAATTAATAACAAAGTTGCACATGTACTCAAGAAGTTCAATCATTAAAAAGTGACAAAAAGAGCAGTGTTGTGTTAAATTGATAAATTATGAAAAAATAATCAAAAATTCTGTTCCTTACTCTTAATAAGAAGTCTCCCTCAGGAAGCACCTGCCCATCCTTGAGCCACTCCAGCCTGGGGACAGGATAGCCTAGTGCTCGGCATGATATGTTCACAGTGTCATCCTCAGTGTATGTGGTATTGTGCACAAGAACTTGAACAGAGACATCCTCTGGAAATTGACAAGTATACAATTAAGATATGATGACATGGTCAGGGTACTTTCAAAATTCATAAAACAATTATCTTAGCTATATAATCAATTATTGTAAGTCCTTGTGATAGCTTGCTTCATAACATTTGATCAAAATCAAATGAATTTTCTTAAATTTGAATAGGATTCAATCAATTTTTTCATTAAATCAATAACAGACTTATGAAAGTTTTGGATCTCTATTTTCTTGATAACCCAACAAATTGGCAGCTTTGGAGCACAATATCATTTAACTGTTGGTGAGGAAGTGGACACAGGTTTTGGAAGTCTCTGCTTCTTGGGCCAAAACTGTTCTATCACTGAGACAAGAAAAGATACTTAAATGGATGTAAGTCTTTGTTTTTTGTGAAGAATCACCAAAGTTCATTTTCAGAATTCATATGTAAAATCTAGTATTCTGATCGCAGGTGTATCTTTCATCAAAGCCTAGACTTCTCTTTGCAAACTTACGCTCTAAACTCAAAGTAACTGTCCTCTGAACCAGACTTATGCCATTGTCAGCAGTACACAAATAGTCTCCTTCATCTTGAGGGTAAGCATCTGCTATGGTCAGAGTGTTGTTCTCATCCACGCTGATTCTGCCATCATTGATGACAACCTCTCCTCTCCTACTCCAGGTTACATTGGGGGCGGGGTTGCCAAATGCTTCACAGAGCAATGAGACGGAGGCTCGGGGTTCCACAATGACCACAGAGGGTCCAGGAGCAATTGTTACTGGAACTGTGATTTAGGCATGGGAGTAAGTATAAAACTGTGTTCATTTTGCCAAATCCATCAATTAATAAAATAAATAAGTAAATGATAAAAAAAAACAAGAAATTAAAAGAAAAATAATTCTAACTGCATTAGTCTAGATCTAAAAAATCTGCAAGAATATACACTTTTAAATAATTCATATTAAGACATCTTAAGACACATACTTAATTACAGCTTAAGATGATCCTGAGTCATTTATATACATACTTGTGACAGTGACAGTATAATCTCTGAGAGCTGAGCGTCCCACACCATTGTAAGCTCTGCATATAAATCCTGTAGAATCTGAGGCATTAGCCTTGGTAATATCCAGAGAACCATCTGGGAGGACTCGGTATCTCCTCATTAAATATGGGACAATTGGGAATCTACAAAACAATACAGAAAATTCAACTCAGAATCAAGTGTTTTTGTTTTGTGCTTTTAGTAAGTTTGTCTCATGGCGTATGTTTGTTTACAATTTTATTAACTTTTCATGGTAATATATGGTACACATTAACTGCATATTGTTTCATATTCTACCCTTAGATGTTGTAGTCTGTAATGATGGGGTTATTTGTGTTTATGGAATGAAAAACATTCAATGAATAACATGCAGTCTTCACTCTGCTGTAACTTACCATCCACTAAAATGTCAAGTAAAAATCCAAAATTGTGGAACACTGACACTTGATATGAAAATTTACACTGTCACTATATGAATATCAACAACAAATCAAATGCTAAACTATCACCAAGTAACTACAGAAAAATTATGTTGGATACCCAAACTGACCTGTTTTTATACCAGGTGATCTGTGGCATGGGAGATCCCTGGGCAGTGCAGGTCAGGGTGACTGACCCTCCAGCCTCTACTGTGTATTCTGTATCCCCAACATCCAGTATGATGGGGGCCTCCTCTGGGCACCCCTGCAGGCTGTACCCCTGGGCTGGTGTCTCATTGTCTAGGCAGCAGCCATAGTCACTGGTCTCACAGCCTAACTCTGGAGCCTCTGTGGTTGGCACTGAAATATATATAGTATAAATATAATAGATTAAAAGGAACAAATTTTATGATATCTGGTTGCTGTATGTTAATATCAGTCCTACCAGTTGGTGTCACAGCTAAGTCACTGTAATAATAGCTATAGATACATATACCTATACATTAGACAAAGTGAAGAAGATCAGGAAAAAAACTTTTCTTGAAAACAAAAATACAGACCTACCATTCATATTGTTGAAAAACTCCTCTGAAACATTATGGCCAACAGTTAACTATAACAGAAACATTACTTTTTTTAACAAAAGTACTAATATGACTGTCATCAGCTCACCCTCTTCATAAGGAGCCACACACTGTGTGCCACATCCATTAAAGCAGCACTTGTGGTCTCCATCACAGTCCAGATCCACGTTACACATCTGCTGGCACTCACTGGGGTGATCTGCTCCAAAAGCAGGGCAGGCTCCTGGCTTGATTCCTGAAGTGGGCATTGTAGTGCATTTTAATTAGAAATGTGACAGATGGGGTTTTTAAAGAAATGGTGTGTGTTTGCAAAATTATGTTAGAGAAAATGTCACCTTTATATCAAGTTTGTCTGAGAGGAAAAGATAAATATGATTGAAGCCAACCAGTACGATCTCCTTTTTTCCTTTTTCTTTCTTTTATTTAAAACAAAGTCCATCTGTTCAGTACACTAATGACAACAGGACCTAAAAATATTCATTGCATTAGGATTGATTTTGTGTGACTAAGCACAAGTTGTGTTGGATGTGCCAGTTCTCTGATGCGCCAGCAAAATTCGGTTTAATACCCTCTCATATGTTGGCATTCAAATGTGATAACTGGCAGTTTTGGCCTGGTATCAAATCATAAAATTCAGAAGTTCGAGAGAGACAGATGTAACTTACTTGCATTGCAATGTACTTTAAAATTTTACTGAAGTTACTCTGGACAACTGTGCTTCATAAAACATTGTTTGATATGAGCATGTCACTTATCCTTCTTTTGGGTTTATATAATAATCTAATCTTTGTGCAGTGGAATATTAGCAAAGCTAAATGTTACAATATTGGAGTTATTGGTCATCTTCACTATTACAGCAATCAGTAATCTAAATAGATTTTGAGGGTAATACGATTGTTTCTTAGAGTAATCTAAATAGAACATGTATCCTCAGAGTAATTTTAGTATCACTTACTCTGCCTGCATATAGCCACCAGAGGCTGGCATGGTTCTACCTCACATTCCATACGTTCCACTTTACATTCAAAGTTCTCAGGACATACTGCATTCTGAAATACAAGTACATTAAATATTATGATAAATTAATAAATAAATAAATAAACAAATACACAAATTTTTTTTAGATGAATGTGCTTTAAAAACAAATCCATATGCACTTATTATAAACTGAAGTATTTATATTCAAAAGTCACAGAAATAACTTGAAACAATTACATAATGGGTTTCCAAAGCAACAAAAACATAAGGATTTAAAACTTAAATTATTTTATTGTTTTATACCTGACAGGGATCATAGCATTGGCACTCATGACAGCCATCTCTATTCTTCTCAAAGCCATAGGAACAGTTCTTGTCACAGGTGAACATAGGACAGGCTCCTGGAATAATTCAATACATGCTTGTCATTCTAATGTGTGGTCTCTTAATTCATGTCTTTAAACAAAAAATGTACACTGCATAAGTTTGGATAAAAACTGCAAAATTACTCAATTTTCTTATTCAGTATAAAACTCACTTCTAGCTTCAGTGGTGACCTCTGGTGTTGGAGTAGTCCCTACACCAGCATCCACAACTACAAGAAGTGGTGTCACTTCCAGTGGTGTGGTGAAAACAGGGTAGCTAGTGGATGTGGTGGTCTCTATGTCGTCATGGTGTCGACCTTGACCTTTACCTTGACCTTTACCACACCTCTCCACACAATCTATAATGTTCACAAAATTGTTCTCATTGCCTCCACAGCTGCCGTAAGTGAAGGGTTCACACTGCTGCGTCTTGGTGTTGAAGTAATATCTTAATGTGGGGATGCGACATTCACCGACTGCAGACGGCAGGTTGCAGATGTCATCAGTGCCAGACAATGTGTTCACTAGGGTATGAGATAAAGATGCATAGGTCAAATCTTGATTACCAACCAAAATATTAGTTGCAATGAATATGGTAAGGTGTTTTCTGTTGTTTTTTTCTTTTTGAACAAAATGAGTCATGGAATTTTTTTCTGAAGTTTAGGTGGTTGAAATACTGATGAAAAAGGGAAACTTCCATCTTTACAATATTGACTTTTCTAAATACAAATATATTAATCACATACACAACTGTAGTGATCAAAATTACCTTTTTTGACTGGACATCTTTCTTTTTCAATGCACCTCCCCTCATGTAGTACGGGTTTCTCTGGTGGACACTGGCAATGGGGAACACACTGAAGTGTGCACACTGGGTCAGGGTCTTCACACGTACGGACACATGCTGAACCACAGACTGTAAATACCATTTCACCTTGACACACTGAAAACAAAACAAAATTAGGTTCAAAAGAAGGAAAAGCTCTCATAAATTTGATTTTGGTACAAATATTAATGAGACTGAAATGTGAAAATGCTTCGACAAGCAGTCTGGTAAAAACAGCTTTAAAGAAATGCAAATTCATTAATATCCAACCCCACTCGCAATAATACCTGAAGGTGACAAGGTTATTGACTCTAAACATTAATATGTATACTTAACATTTTTAGCAATAAACCTCATTGCTTTATGTGACATTTTATAAATATCAGCATGTTAAACAATAAATCTAAGTGTTTCGATTGCAGAAATAATGCCTATATCTTTAATTCAGCCATCGTCCTCACCTTTCTGAGGTAGCTTAGGGCACTCATCAAGGCTGATGCACTTCCCGTTCTCCTGCAGAGGTTTCTCTGGTGGACACTGACACCTGGCCACACACTCCTGAGAACACACCGGGTTGGGCTCACCACACGTACGGAAACATGCTGATGGGGAACCACATTCCGTGAATACCTGACCTTCTGGACATTCTGAACATGGAAAAAGATCACACTGGATATCAAACTAAGAAGGTTTGCTTCTTTGCTTTTTATAATCTTTCTTTTCATCATTGACACCAGTTTAATTATTCCACTAACTGTATTGTTTATACTCATTATTACATCTAACAACTTATCTGCTTGCACACCTGTCAATTATGCTGACATCACGAAGCATCTGTCATAGTTCTCTGCAGTATTATATACATAGTACATACAAGTCTGATAGTCACAATTACATCAGCCAACAAATCACAATCACATCTAACACAGTCATCAAGTTATCATCTAATTCCACTGAGCATAATCCTCTGGTAAGTTATATGGGTCTTTCTGGAGGACCTGGCAGCCAGCCACACCCTGGTACCTGATCACATCCAGTATCACAACTAACACATTAACACATTGTCACATCTAACACATTATAATCACCTTGTTCCACTGGGCAGTATTCTTGGGTAATACATCTTCCTTGGTGAAGTATGGGTCTCTCTGGGGGACACTGGCACCCAGCCACACATGGGCGTGTACAGACTGGATTGGGGTCACTGCAGGTTGGACTACAGGCAGTGCCACAACTTTCAAATATCATGTCTGATGGACAGTCTAAGAGAAAAAATTACCATCATAAAAATACTTAACTTCTGACCAAAACATTTAATGAAGGACACTTGAATGGAACTTCCACTTAAACATTAGACTCTTACATTATTTTCAGTTTGCTGACATACAATGTAATAGCAATTAAGTTGATGCAGTTTTATAATTGTGCATCGATAAATAATTGATTTACAGTTTATGATCTGTACCTCAAAGACACCTAAAGCTAGACAAGATCAATTAACCTTTAAAATAAAACTCTCAGGCTCATCAAATAATTCCTCTTATTACCTTGTTTGATTGGACAATATCTAAGGCTAATGCATCTTCCTTCATGCCAAAGTGGTCTGTCGGAGGGACACTGACACTGTGCTACACATTCCCGTGTGCAGACAGGCTTAGGATTGTCACATGTACGTAAGCATGCTGAGCCACATCTCACAAATTCTTGGCCACCTTCACATTCTGCAAATAAGAAAAAAAAGTTTAAAATGCTACTACAGTACACTCAACATATTTTAAAATTTTAATCTCGTATTTGAGATGCTAAGACCTTAATTACCATTTCGATATGTCACAATATTCACCATAATCAATCCAATTTACATCAGGACTAAATTAAAAAATACAAAGAGACAATTATCTCAAGGCTTTGATATTGCTCTACAAATGGGATTCTAAAGCTTGTAATGTAATGGTGATGTCTTATCAATCACTCCCTGTCCAAACTCAGTTTATATTCAGGTGAACACTGATCCATTATCACCTTTTTGTACTGGACAATAGTCTTGGGAAATGCACCTTCCTCTGTGTAGTATAGGTTTCTCTGGTGGACACTGGCAGCGACCTACACACTGATATGTGCACACTGGGTCTGGGTCTTCACAGGTACGGTTGCAAGCTGAGCCACACTCCATATAAACCTGGTCTGGTGGGCATTCTGTATGAACAAGATCAGGAGAGTCAGTGTATTAATTATCACTTATTAGGTTGAAACCCAAGTCATGGTTTTTAAGTCAGCATGGCAAAATTGCCCAACCTACTTCCTTCAAGTCATTTTTGATACAATCTGTATGTCTTCCAACACAAATCAAAAGACATCAGAATTTGAAAAAAAAATTTTGCAAATGTTCAAACCTTAATTACTTTTAAACTCTTGTTGCTCAAGCCTCATTTAACCAAAAACTGACACAACTACCACACTGATTTTACATCTACAATGCCGTACACTGTGGCACAGCTAACACACTGAAGCAGCTGGCAATCTGTTGAAACATAGAATTTGGCTCAAATCACACACTAGAATGATCATAAAGCTAAGTCACCTAGTGGAGCTGGGCAGTACTTCTGTGTGATACACTTCCCTTCATGTAGTATAGGTCTGTCAGGTGGGCACTCGCAGCGCGGCGCGCACTGTTTCGTGCAGAAAGGATTGGGTTCTTCACACGTGGCAGCACATGCAGACCCACATGAATTAAATACTTGACCACCAAGACAAACTAAAATATGAAAATACAAATTATCATATCAAATTTATGTGCAAAACACGATTAGCAAGTTAGAGATCTCGTATCACAGACGTGAATCATTCTTTATTTTGTACTATCAAAAATTGTTATTAAAATCAACATTATTAAAATTGAAAGCTAGGATGACCTGTATAAATTTCTCATTTTGCTGAATATGATAAATATTATAAGGTTCTTTACCTGGAGATGATGGACATTTTTCCTCAGCAATACACTCTCCCTCATGTAGTATAGGTCTGTCTGATGGACACTGACAACGTGTTACACACTTCAGTGTACATGGTGGGTTGGGCGCATCGCATGTGCGCACACATGCAGAACCACATTCCATAAACTCTTGGCCATAGGGGCAGTCTGAAAAAGTTTGTCTATATAGTAAAATCTATCATCAAACCTATGAACAAATTTTAATGCAATGCTGACTAGCATCAAATATCTTTTATCATTAAAATGAAAATCATCTCAAAATGCTCTAAACTCTTTTCAATACTTCTAAAAACATATAAACTCTTAAAGAATATGACCCATGGTTTTAAACATGATAACATGAAAGAACCACATTTAACAAAACTAAGCACACTGAAGAAATATTGCAGGCATGCTGATAGCTCAAGCACCTGGTTCTACACCTTTTACATCTAAATCACTTCTCAAATACAGGGAAAAAACAGTAATTGTTCCCCTCCCCTTTTTTTTGCATAATGTTTAAATAATTGAAATTTATGTTTTAGTGATTATAGTCAAACACAAGCTATAGCAAATTCAGTTTGGCATGTCAGAAAATTACTGCCACTCATAAAGTAGTTAAATATATAAAACAAGCTTGTTCAAGATGAAACTGCTTTTATAAAAATAAGCTTTCATTTAGTACATAGTCATACAACATGCAGTTAGCAGGATGGCAATAAGCAAACTACAGATCACTACTGTCACATACACTGAGATGTATATAATGTGTATATATGTGTAACACTGGATACAGCCATATTATATGTGACCACACCCACCTCTCTTGTCAGCGTGCCTCAAAACACACAGTTCATTACACTCTTCTTTACTCGCAAACCGGTTGGCATTTCCATGACAACCACCATATGAGAATTCCCGACATTCTCTTAAATTGAGGTTATAATACCACTGGAAAGTGAAGTCTGTGCAGGGTCCAGGGTCTGGGATCTCAAAGCACATGTCAAATTCTTCTGCAAGACAAGAAGCATGCATGCAGCAACTAACACCATGCAACTTGGTAACATCCTTCTACAAGAGACGTATGGACAGATTCTGCAACCTTTAGTTTGTTTCTGAGGTAACATGCAACAACAATCTCTCTAGGGGGAACACCTTAATTCTACGGACATTCTGTCATGTGTGTGAAATTCTTAGGCTTCCAGATATTATACCAAGATGAATATTGCAACAAGACAAGATGTTATGTTAATAAATTTACTTATTCCCGTTATTAATTCACACAGCAAAACACTGTGCATTTATGTTATGACAAACATGCTTTAAGTTAGAAACTATAAAGTGAATGTTATTATACAGAAAAAAGATTCTCACCATTGTTATGCACAGGTAAATTGTCAATACAGCTACAAACATTCTCTAAGTTAAGATTTTTACACGCCGACACATATCTCTCAATGTGTTAGTAAATATACATACCAGTCTGCGGCTCTGTTATCTTGGGACCTGGGTCTGGAGCACCAACTGTAGGTGGCGGCACTGTTGTCACTTCCACAGCAGGCCTTACAAGCTGTGTAGTTGCCACGGTACTGGGTGGTGGTGTGGCATCTTGACAGAATAACTCACACTCTTGCCATGACTGGAACCGATTGTTATTTCCTCTACAGCCACCATATACAAACCTGCGGCAAGCTCGTGATTCTGCATCGTAGTACCAGGTTGGAAAATAGCCCCGGCATGGCCCATGGGATTTGTGTTCAAAACAGGCTTCTAAAGATAAATAAAAAAAATATTTTTGAGAAAATTAGAATGTAAGAAAAATATAAAAGGGAAAGAGTTAATAAAAAACTCTTAGGGGTGAATTTGGTGAAATAACTTACATGCTGACCCTTTTCAACCTTCTATTAAGACATTATTTTCTTAATCCAAGAAAATAATATATCCTCTAGGCAATCTGAATTATGCATAGTACAAGTTTTTGACTATAAAACACTTTTCAAACCCATCATAACCCACACTTACCCTGTCCTCTATCTGCAGAAGGTTGGTCTGGCTGCAGGGGCACACCCGTCTCTGGTTGTGTTGGTTGAGTTATCAAAGTCTCCTCTACCACAATCCCTGGCACACCATTGGGTCTCTCCGTTGGTCCACCACATTTCTCAACACACTCCTCTATGGTGTGGAAACTGTTCCTGTTTATTTAAAATCCCAAAGGATGGATGTATGGTAACAGAGATCATCTATTGTGGAATAATTTGCACGGAATGTATGACTGTCAATTTCTTATAATTTTTTTTACACTGAAAAGTAAGTGCCGCCCTGGTTAGATATCAGATAATGATCCAACACTGTGAATGCTAGGTTGACTGAGGTATAATTGTATTATTATTTTATTGTGTCTGGAAAGATTCTGTTGGATGTTCTTCTGATAAGCATGATTCTGATCAACAAAATTGTGTTAGTTGTGATCGTCTTGGACAAATCGTGGGTTCATTTTGTTGGGGTTTAACAATGTCATGTACAAATCCTTTTGTCAGTACCATCACCTATGAAATGGTGTTTTCCAGGCATGTGCAATCTTTATACTGTTCACCATACATATTGGGAACAATTGTTTAATCTGAATGGCATAAGTAATGAGCAAAGAAAATGGTTCAAATTACCTGTTGCCACCACAACCACCATAGAAGAAAGGCTTACACTTGCCCTCCTTGCTGTCATAGTAGTAAACCTGTGAGAAGGCCCTGCATGGACCCTGATCTTTGGGCAACTGGCACACATCTGGAACACATAGTAACTTGAGGGATGAAAAGAAATGGACGACAAGTCTATCTTCAATGCACCCATTGTGTGCATTATCCCATCTTCCTCACTGAAACTCATCTATATTTATTGTGGTTTGAGTGGGACTTGATCACAAAATAAAATAAAAAAACCATAAAGCCCCAGATAGTCAATTAGCTACATTCGAACAACATTTATACATTTTATCAGTAGAAAGCACTGACAATTTCTGGTTAATGAGATTAATATTTAAAGTTGAGCGATTAATTTAACTAGCAAACCCATGCTTGCACATAAAGGAAAAGCACAAGAAGCAAAGCGAACTAAAGGCAGAATAATAAGCTTCTAATATTCAAGGGACAAATTTGTTAGAAAACACATAGTACTGGTTCAAACTTTCAAACACATTCTTCACAATACTCTGCAATTGAAATGTCTTGTAGTTTTTGAAATTCTGGCAGTTAACATTTGGATGACTATGGGTTTTCTACAATCTACCTGAAGAAGGCCCTACAAGCTGTCTATCTGCTATCCTGGTTGAACACTCAGCCATGCACTCTTCTTGGGTAAGGAAACGGTTGGAGTTACCCAAACAGCCACCATACTCAAACTGTGTACAATACCCCCAGGTGGCATTGTATGCCCAGTAACTAAGGCTAGCCAAGCATGGTCCTGGGTCCTTGGGCAATAAACAGCGGTCTATGGTGATGACTGGGGAATGTTAAACAAGTCAGAACATCATGTTGTCATTTGATACACACTGGCAAGCAGGCAAATGCACTAAGGCATTGTTCACAACTGTTCTACCTTGTAATTAGGGTGTGAGCTTACACTAGCACAGGATCGAAATATCAGCCAAATGCTCAAGGCATTCTAATTTGATAAAGATATATGTAAAATGTTCTTTTATGGCCAAATTCATGACTGATTAGGTTAAAAGACTTGGCTAAAAAGTAATTTTATCCAAGAGTGAGCCCAGTAGACAAATGTTCTGCATCATGTCATCACATGGCCCAAGAACACAAATAATTTAGAAACAATCTTGTCTACTACACACCACAGTTGGATGATGTCTGGTCTAAGTTAGTCAGTTTATGAACATAGGAGATTATTTTTATGCAAAAGGACAAATTTAGATTTCTTTCAATACATCTACTTTTCCCCCATTGTGAGTGCATATCTAGCTATAGGCATAATACAGCAGAGTTAAGGAACCTACTAAATAAAATACTATATTGCAACAAAACAAACATTAATATGCAAAGAATATCAGCAGACAATATAACAGACAAGCATGCCTTAAACCATAGTGAATGACCAACAAAGCAATGCCATGCTCATTTACAAGGTTCTTTTTCATTAAGGGTTTTTCTACTGATCTACAGAATATACATATTCACTTCTTGGTATACTAAAATAATTAAATCCCACCACGAATTCCTATAATTGATATCTCATACAAATTTTCTATCTATTTTTAAGTTTGCATACAGGGAGACAAGAAATAAGGAACTAAAGCAGTAACTACTATATGATTAACCTAAAATTTTTACCTCCATCTTCTTGAACCTTTGCACTGGCAGTTGGCGTGACTTTGACACATTCACTTTCACATTCAGCCTTTGACTTGAAGTTGTTTTCGTTGGCATTGCATCCGCCATATTGGAACAGCTCACAAAGCTTAATCTCCTGGTTATAGTACCAACGGGGCACCAAAGCTTTACATGGACCAACCTTTTTAGGTTGGCTGCATTTGTCCAGTGTTAGAACTGGAAAACACCATGAAAATATATAATGTTCATTCACAAAATTTATTTAGAAGTATAATTTTGTCATGCTAAGGCAACTGCCCGTATACTGTTAATTTAAGTTTTTAAAAATTCAACTTGATTTAGCACATGAAGAAAAAAGATAACACAGCAATACTGATATTTTCATATTGCAACAAGTGGAACAGGCTCAAACTGTTACAAAAATATATATTTAGAGCTCTTACCAGGTAATTTTGCTCCAGAGCATATTTGTAAGCATTCAGTTTGGGTGTCAAATCTGTTACCATTTCCAAAACATCCACCAAAGTCAAACAGCTTGCACTGTCCATCCCTCTGGTCAAAGTACCATTTTCTAAACAGATCTTTACATGGCCCAGGGTCTTTGGGTAGGCTGCAGACTTCTATTTGAAAATTAAATATAAGTTTGATACTTAATTACAGACATGTTTACAGGGTTTTCAAAGAAGTTGTAGGAAGCACATCTGGTGGATAGGTTGATATAACTGTTTTGAAGCACCACCTACTGTGAAAGGAGTGTTTATTATGGATACTTGCTAAAGATTGCTGTCTCTCCATGACTCCTATTTGAAGAATTAATGTTAAGACTTTAAATTTATTCTCAAGAAGATACAAACTTTGAAAATAACAACATGGTTGCACTGGGTATGCTAATTTCAATTAAAATATATTGGACTAAACCTTGACCACTGTTGTGCTTCCACAATCATGCAATTGTTATCAGTGTATAAGCTCATATTTCATCTCATACCTCGGTCTTTGCTGTAGCCTTCAAAACAGGTGAGGAAATGATACAGGTTGTCTTTGAATTTGTTATGCACATTTAACTTTTATTTAGATTTTGGCCGTTTCATGTTAAGACAGACTCTTACCTTGTGAAGGTTTCTTATGTGTGACTTTTGTCTCTTCCCTGATCTTCTTCAGACATTTTCTTTCACAGTCAGCTGATGTTAGGAACCTGTTTTCATTGCCAAAACAGCCACCATATAAAAACTTGGAGCAGGTGCCAGTCCTGGTATCAAAGTACCACCTCCTGAAGGTACCCTTGCATGGACCAGTCACTTCAGGTAGTTTACAAGTGTCTGCAAAACATTTTAAGAAAATTGGCATCAGGCATTTTTCTAGGCAGGCAAATCTAACACAACTAAAATGTGTCTGTACAGCTGTCAAAATAATATATCTTATTTCAAAATAAAGATCTTAAAGATGATAAAAAGTTGTTACTATCTTGAGTAAGCAAATTAGGGGTACATCATTTCATAGCTGTGATTAAAAATTATTTCCTCTTAATGATGTGTGTTATATGATAATTTTACTTACCAACAGCAACATATTTCCTGCACGACTGTTCACAGGCATCACGAGTCTCAAAGTTGTTCTTATTACCAAGACAGCCACCATATGTGAATGTTTTACAAGACCTAGTCTTCTGGTCAAAGTACCAGCGTGACAAGTTTTGCTGACACCCACCTCGTACCACAGGAAGCAGACAAACACCTGAAAAGAGATTATATAAAAATCAATCCATAAATGAGTTAATTTCTAGAATGTTACTTTTTGACATGAGAAATTATAAGTCAGATAAATCTAAATAAAATGTGTATGGTTCTGAACAATTGTCAAAGTTTCAGTTCTACCTAACAGAGCAGTTGGCAGAACAGCAGTAAGCAGAATCTAAATTTCTAATTGACAGCTATAGAATATGAAAAAATTAACTAAGTATAGGTCTGAAATATAGCTGTTTATCAGAAATATTGGATCATAACTAGATAACATGTCAGAGAATCAACTTCCAAGAACATAAAATTATATTTTAAGGTGACATGCAGACACAACAGATATAATCACCACCCCTCTCAGTTACCTTCTCCTGGAGGTTCAACACACACTTCCTGACACTGTTCTCTGGAGTCAAAGCGATTGTCGTTGCCATCACAGCCGCCATACCAGAACCTGTTACAGCCACCATAGGTGGTGTCAAAGAACCACTTCACCTTGAATCTACGACATTTGCCCATCTGGCCAGGCATGGTACAGAAATCTGATATGATAAATAAAATCTTTTTTTAATACACGCTAATATAAAATTTACAAAAAGACCTGCATTGTAATTTGAAGTTAAGATCAAAATAGTGAATTCTACAGCATCAGATGAGAAAATTATGAGCAAAATTAACCCTAAAGATTCATTTTTTCTAAACAAAGTTTTCAATAAAATATAAAATATGACAGATCTCAAGAATTGACAGTCACAGAGTTGTCTCCATACCCTTAACATACAGCACGCCATCACATCCCTCAAGATCTGGTCCTGTTGCTGCCACCACACTGTTTGGACAACAACCAAATGTACTCCTCACACATGCTGCAGAAGTACAAGGTAAGCAATTAAATGCACAGTAAGCAATATAAATACATATTGTGACAACTGCTTGCATTAAAAATTTTGTGAAAATTCTGACACACTTTTGACTTGTAATTAGACAAAAGCTTCTTAGCCATTTCAAAAATTCACAACAGGTCATGAAAAATATCTTTTTGTTTAAACAAACTAAAAAAAAATCAGAAACCAACCTAAAATAAACAAGTATTATTTGAAATATATTAACTAACACGCCCCAATGTCTATAATTCCAAAAGTAATAACTTACGGACTGTATCTCTATCTATACATCCAGCAAACTGTGTGCCCTGAGCTGCAGTGGCGCCATCTGGACAACATCCATAGAATGTCACGTCACATCCTGGTAAACTGGTGTCTTCCTCAGGCAAGCACCCAGCAAAGCCTAATTTTTTTTACAATTATCATTTAAGAATCCCATCAGAATTTATTGAATAAGATAAAATCAGGGAACCTGTAACTTAAGTTTTATTAATTCTGCTAATCCAACTGACAGCGATATCTCAAAGAAAAACCATGTATCAGTGATGCAAAATTAAACATTGCTAGGGAAATTTTTTGTGATATCAATGAAACAGAATCAGAAAAGGTGTATCATTTACTATGCTTGCAGCTAAAGGTTTAATAGGTGAACCACAAGACCAGTATTAGTTTGGTATAAGTCAACAGCAAAACTTACCTGGTCCCTGTGACGGTGTTTTCTGGTCTGGGCAGCAGCCAAAGAAAGTGTGGGAGCAGTTCACTGCTGCAGGTGTCACTGCCACCTCATTGGAGCTGTCAATGACTGGCTGTGTCTCTGGACAGCCTTCCTTGCCTGGTCCTCTAGCAGACGTCACACCATCAGCACAGCAGCCATGCTGGGTTCCTGCACAGCCACCAACAAGTTTCTGCGCAGAAAAAACATTACATTGGTAAATGGTTAATCCAAGTGTGTTATTCAGATATCGGGGAAAGGCAAACTTTTCAAACATTTTTCTAACAATCATAACTAAATCTTTACAGATAAAGGGCCATATGAGCTATTTCAAATTGCTACCCAGGTCTGGAGATGCAAAAACTCATTGTTTCATAACTCTACCAATTATTTCTCCCTCTAGCAAAGGTAAAACAAAAACTTACTGTTTCTGGACATCCAGCCTTATTTGGGCCAAGAGCAGTAGTTTCCCCATCAGCACAGCAGCCATGTTGTGTTCCTGCACAGCCACCAACCAGCACAGGACAACCAAGTTTGTCTTCATCCAGAGCAGCTGTTATACCATCCTCACAACAACCAAACTGAGTTCCTTGACAGCCGCCAACAAGTTCCTTCAGGACACGAAAAATGAGGAGAAAATAAACACTACATTATAAAAAATAAATGTTCTCTCTTGCACACTGTATCCAATCCCTCGTATAAGAATATGAATGAATTAAGAAAAGCATTAAAATATTCAAGATGTTCAGGAAAAGTAGTCCATGCATGCACAGACACAATGTGTTCAATAGTTAAAGTACCTTCTCGGGGCAACCTTCTTGATCTGGTCCACTGGCAAACATCAGGCCATCAGCACAGCAGCCATGCTCAGTACCTGCACAGCCACCAACAATTTCCTAGAAATACATGTTTGCAAGTTATTGTTTAATAACAGAATATTTTTAAAAAATAATTGAATAAATAATGGTTGAAAAAAAAACTGAATATTTCTTCATAAATACCTATACTGAATGATATTGGATACAAATGTAGCATACCACTTCAGGACACCCAGCCTTATCTGGTCCCAATGCAGATGTCACACCATCAGCACAGCAGCCATGTTGGGTGCCTGCACAACCACCGACAAGTTTCTGAAAACAATTATATAAGATTAATTTATCCAAAGACTAAATCTCAATATCAAAAAACTACTTTCATCCTTAAAAAACTAAAATCCTTCTCAATTAAAGCAAAATTGAAATCAATTTCTGGGTGTCATACTGATATAAATAAGAATTTGTAAAGTGTTGGCATCTACCATAGATATCATTTCCATTAAGTGAAACACTTAACAAAAACTTACTGTTTCTGGACATCCAGCCTTATTTGGGCCAAGAGCAGTAGTTTCCCCATCAGCACAGCAGCCATGTTGTGTTCCTGCACAGCCACCAACCAGCACAGGACAACCAAGTTTGTCTTCATCCAGAGCAGCTGTTACACCATCCTCACAACAACCAAACTGAGTTCCTTGGCAGCCACCCACCAAAACCTGGAGACAAATTGTACTTAATACAATTTTCCTAATCTTTATTTTTGTAAAAACATTTGTTCTAAATCTTGTAATTATGCCACTTCCACTGTAAAACATCATAAGTGCAATAATGTAATACAATACTTCCAAGTTTAACTAAAATTGTTCCAAATTAATCGTATTCTAAATCATAAGTAAATCCATACCAAAGAAAATATGTAGCTTTATGTCACTCCCCATACCTCATTACTGCCAGTGTCTGGCACTGCCTCACTGCTGCCATCTGGTGTAAACACCTCAGTGACATCTGGTGGGAGTGGTGTTGAGGCAGACAGTGGAGTGGTGGCCACTGGTATGCTGGTTTCTACTGTTGTTAGGACCTCCACACCTGGGGTTGGTTTTAGTGCAGTAGGAACATAGGGTCCAGCAATCTGCCAATACAAACTTTATTATAAGACGTCTACTTCAAATAACCCTGACACTTTGATATGTACAAATAGATTCATTAAAATTTACATGATTGTATAGATGTTTGTGAAATTAAGTCTTTATGGGTCCTTTTGTGGTAAATATTTGTTCCCATAATATGTTGGTCTACAGTCACCACATCAGTTGCAGTGGAAAAGTATAAATGATCTTGAGATTATATTTTTCAATCTAAAAAATCGCAAGACAATGAAATTATCTTAATGATAGCACTTGCCTTCTTAGTGGTTTGTTCTATTTCCTTCCCAGTGGGTGTTCTTATTGTAGTCACTGTAAGGCAGCCCTCTCTCTGTGGTCCCTGAGCAGCTGTGACACCATCATCACAGCAACCATAAATGGTGTTCTCACACTCTTCAACTTCACCTGATCCATCTTCACAACCAGCGCCATTAGGACCTACAATATCAATTGATTATTTTTTTATCACTGTTATTCTTCAAATATACTATCACCTATATCAAAAATATTTTAATTATCGTCCTTTAATTTGGAGAACAGCTCATAATTAACCAACTTGACAGACTGCTTTGTGAGAATGATTTTAAGCCAAGCTTCATATTCAAAAATGCATAGACAACAGGACTGGTATACAAATACATATTAATCCAGTTCATATCAATCATCCCAGTGTGTGCAAGAATTCTTGTACAGTAATATCCTTACCCAGAGCAGCTGTTATCCCATCAGGACAACACTTAAATTCAGTGTACTCACACAAATCTTCTGCATCAAATCCATTCAGCAAACTTGGTTTGGTTACAACTAATTCTCGCAGCTTCTTTCCTGACTCCACATTTTCATAAGTCTTCTCCCTTCTGCAGCCAAAATGGTTCAAGCCTTGCGCTGGGATCACTCCATCTGGACAACAACCATACGCCATATTACCACAGTCCTGCTGCGTGGACTGAGGGCAGCCATCACCCTTGGCATTATCTTTGGGTGTGATTTCATCCAAACAGCAGCCATATTTGGTTTCCTAGAAAAGGAAAATTATGACTGTTCAAACAAGTTTTTTTTACACAAAATCTGTAACTCATGTTATAATACTGATAAGTAAACATACATCCTAGAAAAATCAATCTAGACAGCCAGTATCAATATCCTACAATAAATAGATCATTCTTTCTGAAAATGCAATTTATTAAGAATTTCATATTGGTCAATAAAAAATAAAAACTTACCTTGCATGTGAACTTTGGGCAACCCTTCATAAAAGGACCTTTGGCACTAGTCACTCCATCTAAACAGCAGCCAAATTCAGATGTCTGGCAGCCTACTTGTTCCACAACATCAACATCCTCACAACCTTCAAAGTCTGGCCCCAATGCCTCTGTCACATCATCTGGACAGCAGCCATATTTTGACCCTTTGCAGCCAACTGAATTCAAACAAGATATATATACACATTGTATACACCAAAATTCAAGCAACCTGGTACATGTAGCTTAAATAAGGTTTCACACATCCAGAGAAATCAACAGTTTGAGTTCAAATAACGGTGAACACATTGTGAAAAACAACAATAATTTATTGAAGCTCTGTGGCTAGCATCTTGTTGACGAAAGGATGTTGACTCAGGTATTCACTTAACATATATAATTATATCCTTTAATTCTTCTTAATCTGATTACTTTAGCCACTGAGCATGACAGGTTTCACTTACCCACAGAACAAGGTAAAATATTGCAGACCTCCTTTGCAAATGGTTCAGGTTGCCCGCTACAAGAGGAAGCATCCACCTGTTTGCTTAACTTGGGGGAGTAGCATATCACTGTCCTGCCTTTGACGCCTCCAGCACAGGGCATGGAACACTAGAAACACACAGACAGGAGAGGGATTTACATAAAAAAAAGCACATGCATGCACTCACACAGCTCAAAAACACATGCATGTCACACACATATCAGCATAATGCTGGTTATTGTATTATAAAGAAAAAAAAAGTTCAAACAGCAAAAAGTTCGTCAGAATATTTACTGGAGAGTATTCCACAGGTTTTAACGCCTTTCACCAAATATTTAATTTATAATTATTTTATTAAATTCAAAGTCTTATATACAGTTGAGATCTTCAAGGCATATGACCCAAAAAAATTTTGGGGTGTCAACAATATTCCCTCAACACACCTTATCCCATGGCCCACTGAACCACATAGCATCACACGGCCCCTTGGAGCACTTCTGCTGTTCAACAGGCTTCTTGGCAATGTCACAGTCATCATCTGAGACCTCCTGGCTGTCTCCAGTGCTATGGTCTACCCTGATACAACGCACTGACCGTGTCTGGACACCATGACCACAGCTGGAAGAACACTGGAAGATGGGAACAATTACATTTAAATGTGATTTTTTCTTGAGAAATAAGTATTTTTTTCTTTCTTTTACTTTTATTTTCTTTCTTTCTTTTTTTTTTGTTAGATTCTGTTTAATGCTCTTAAAGACATGCCAGCCTCAACTGGCTTAACAGACTAATATTCAGAGTCATAACTAAAAATTAAATTGTTAAAGAAGTAAAAAAGAGAAATTTTGTTGAATGGGAAATTTGCCATTTTGCATGTTAGACTATTTTTTAATTTTAGATAGAAAAACAGATTTTGAGAAATGGTCAAATAACGCTGTATGAAGTTTTGAAACATCTTATCTAATATATAATCATAACAAAACACAGAAGCACATATATCTGTATTAATTTTTAAGCTTAGGGTAATGTGCCAAGCATTTCGACGGGCCCAGTCAATCCGACCACAAAAATTATTTTATAAAATTAATTTTTCTGGGCTCAAACAATTAGTCCATACGTCAAAATCATGGGACAGAATTTTTTTCTTGTTCCGATTGTTCGACCACATCGTCGACAAGACTCGGTAAATTTTCAAGCCAGTGAAATAGATGCTGCATGCCTCGGCCCTTTGTCAATTGTTGTCCTTTCAATAGTTCTCGTCAATGAGGAAGAAACAATTAATTGAAGATCTAATCATCACGCCCGTAACTGGGCAGGGGGGGGGGTTAAAAAAAGGTCTATTCTGGATGAAACCAAATATCGACAGTGGGTAGAATACATCGTAAACACCTTCATATAGACCATATATCGCGTTTGCTAGCAATAAAAAGTTTGGGAAGAATAAGCAATTTATTTTCAAGTTCGATTGAAATATATATGCAGATGGGGAAACGTTCTTTAAGTCAACACCGCAAGATCTTCATTTACTACAATCGACCGAAAGATCAGCGGGATCGACCGCCCAGACTTCTTGGCGCCAAATACCACGCGCTGTCAAAATCTGACGAACACATGTAGCTGTTCACCTACATGGATAACTGATTTGCCAACAATAAAAATGACGTCTTTCTTAATTCCATGGGAGCTTCATAGAGAGTTCCACTGGGTATTTACGTTACCTGTGAGCCACTTTCAATTTCCCCAGATGCATGAAATGTTGATAATATTTAGCGTAATCCACGACGAACTCCATTCCTGTGACCCCCCTCCCCCAAAATGGGACCGTCTTCATTAACATGTGGTTTGCGCTATGCTGGAGCAGACCAGATAAAACCAGTCTCTCATTTCTGCATGTGCTGAATTCTCACGTCAAATTATAAATGCACCTGTTTTGTGAAAATTATGGCAAGTAAATGTTTTTTTTACATTCGGGTTGTATCAGTGGGGTTTTCAATATGCACCGTGGTTTGTGCACAGCGAGAGTATATAAGTAAGAAAATCAGAAGAGTGCCAGCAAGATACTGTATGTCTATCGGCACAGGTACGCTCCGTATTTTGCCTTTTCTCAATATGTTTTTATATGACATGCTTTTTAAATAAAATACTTAATAGTAATTTGAAGTTACACTGATTTCCATTTGAGTACCAGTTGGTATTCTTTGATACGGGTGATTGAATTTTCTTCGGAAGTACCTACGTCTACGCCTCGACGCTGAGCAAGCCTTGCGGGTTGAAAACAGCTGAACTCAGACTGGTAAAAAATTTCAATTTGGTTGATTTCAGTTGTCATATTAAAATTCAAATAGGGCGTACGTAGATCACAAAACTAGTTTAAGTCCACTAAAGCTACCAGTTTCAAATATAAGTGACCGGCCTTTGTTTACAACACCTGTCTCCGGGGAAATACTCGTCCCACTTGTGAAGCGCATTATGAAAGTGATCGTAGGTGAGGGAAAATATATAATTAAAAAATTATAATTGTCGTCTTTTTTTAATGTTAAGTAATGTTAGCACATATTGTACACAGCAAAATAAGATTTCAGGAGGATAAAACATGCCTGAAACACGTGTTAGGCGAAAATTGCGGCTTATCTTGCGTAACACTTCCGGTAAAATGCAATACTTCCGGAAAGATGGACGTTTTGGCAGATGCCCCTAACAATCCGACGATATCAAAGGTTTCCATTTGCTGTATTTTAATCAATTCGACCAAACTGACATTTCCATGAAATTAATTAATTAATCTTGGTTGAATTGTTTGGCATATTACCGTAATAACCTGACCGTCTTCCGGAAGACCCAGAAGATGGTCTCAATCCACCCCTTCAGTAAGATTACAGTTTCAGGACCATGAGAGTTCAAATTCTCATGATGAAAGTCTCAATATTTGAAAAATGATGACAGTGCATAAAATAATATTACATAATGTTTAAAGACATAAAAAACAATACAACTGCTTATGTGGAAATATAGAAAATGTGCAGAGCCTCAGGCAGATGAGAGTTAAAAGTCACAAATGCCAGTGTTTGAGAAAAAATTAAAAAGGAAAACATAACAAAACTAGAAAAGCACTCCAAGAGCGCAGACCTCTGCCAAGACAGCAATTGTTGATTATTATTGATTGA